AGACAAATTTCACTTGACATTACGTGGCGTTAACCCTTTTAGTAGGTACTTAGCGCTTTTTTCCACTTTTAATATAATTTAAACACATGCAATGACACTTTATTTCTATGAAATAAATTTATAAAATGTAAAAGTAATTTTAATATATATCTCAAAAATATCAAAAATATTTTTCAAGGTATTTTTCGACGATACCCAGAAAACTTTAAGGTGTTACAAGGGTTAATTATTCCCCCGATGGAACTGAAACCCTTCGGTTTCAGGATCCAGTAGAGGAATCGTATTAACAACGTACTGTCAAGCTCTGATCGCCACGATATCCCGGTTCGTTCATGATTTCGATCGGGAGATCGAGACGGGAGAAAGTCGTTGACGGACACATCTGTCGCGGGGGCCAACCCTACCTGGCGGCCCCCGGGTAATCGATCGCTTATTGGGGCCATCTTCCACGGGGTGCCCAAAAAGTCTTCGGGACACACTCCCCTCCATCGTTCTTTCCTCGGCGACGGTTCGTGGAACGACGTTTTCAATTCGCGTCGCCGCGGATTTTTTGTAATTAATCCTCGGTGCATCGCGACGGAACACGCCAGGGGGAGGGCAGAGGAGGAAGAAGAAGAAGAGAGTAGAGGGACGAAACAGAAAGAAAAAGGAGCTCGAGGGAGAGACAAAATGAAGAACAGATATACCAGCGAGGAGGATACGAAGAACGGAGATTGAGAAGGAGAAGAGGAAGGAACGGAGACCAGTCTGGCGCGGTGTGTATCCGGTTTTTGCGGGCGTCAGATGACAGTCGCTTATTTACCGGGGGCCCGAGCGGCCATCTTGCTGCGATCTGACTTAAGGAGGAGGCCCACCGAACAACCGCGGAAAAAAGGGGGAACGGGCGCGCAGGACGATCGAGTAGAGGAGGCGATGGACGTGGGACTTCGCTCGAATTAATCGATCGGTTATCAACGTCTCCGGGATTCGTGGAATGGAAGAAATATGGCAGCCGATGGGCCCGAGATGTTATATACCGTGTGCTACCGTCCGTTCCCCATCCTCCCCTCTCCAACTCGTATGATTTCTTCTTGTTCCCTCGTCGCTTGGAATTGTTACCCTCCCGGTTAACGACTCTGCCTCTCCTTTATGCGTTTCTATGGGACTTATACTCTTCTACATTTTGTAATGCATTCGCAATATACTACCTTAAAAAGCTATAATTATATTAATTATTTCCTAACTTTATAATTTTATAAGGTTCATATCAATATTTAGGAAACCATTATTGATAATATACAGAATTAAATATATACAGAAATTATTAGAGGTTAAGCTGAAGTAAAGGGACACATTGAGTTTAGTCATTTCAACTATTCCACTTTTCTGTACAACCAATTTAACGCGACAAGGCAAGTAATATCAAAGGTACCGCTCCGAGTGTCACCTCATGTTGTATTTCTACTCTTTGGTCGAACCTCGATTTCCAGAGCAAACGGAACGCAGTTTGTAATGATACAAAAAGAAATCTTGAACAGTGAATTAATATGATTAGACGGTGAACAGGGGATTCCACGCGTGCGTATCAAAGACACACGTACGATTATCATTAATATTAATTATCCACGAACCATCCAGGGTGAATTAATTATTCCCCCGCCGTGGTCCCCGCGGAAGGAGCACGACGCGTCTACGAAGGAAGCGCAGGAGATTCCAGGTAACAGGTAAACCACGTCGAAGGAGGAAACAACAGAAGCGTCCGATCCACGGTGGATAGCAGCCGCCGCGGAGCCGAGCGCGCTTTAATTACCGCTAATTAACATGTTCGTTGCCCGGTCGAAGTCAGCCCCCCGTTTATGGCCAACTACTCCGGAATGTTTGCTCGTGGTCCGAGGAAACTCGATTGTTGTATATTTTTGTTGGCTCGACCGTTTTCCTTTTTATTCATCGAACCTTGTAATCCACGGATTATTATTACTCTCCTCTTTTTCCTGTCCTCTCCGAATTGTAGTGTCTTTTTCTGGAATTTTAATCTCTAGAATCGAGAATACAGTAAATCATCTATAAGTGTTCGAAGGCTTCTTGGCACGGACAAGGAAAGGTCCCCAGGCGTAACGTTGACTTTTTAATGAGGTTTCGCACAGCGATAGAGCTTGGAATTCTGAAGTCAATGATATTTGTTTCGGCCGCATATGGCCATTGGATTATGAAATATTTAATGTTCAATGCCGAGAAGCTTTTGAACGCTCATAGATACTGTAATTGTCTTCGTTTCTGAAAATTGATGCACACGTCCGATATCCAGATCCGACGCATCAGGGGTCCCGTTTTAATAGAAAAGAGGGTGTCCGACGAAGACAATCTCGAGAAACTCCTGAACACGACAGAGACAGAACCAGAGAGTCCGCGATATATCCGCGCTACAAATGAAACAGTCTCAGAGGCACGCCTCCCTTCGCGACTAGAGAGAGAGATCTCCTTTCATTTGTCATCTCAGCTTTGCGTTTGACTCGCCCGGTTTCTCCCCATTGTCTGCCGCCCCGGGGATAGTTTTGTCACCGTGACAAGAAACAGCGCTCCAGAAGATCGCGAAACGATGTTCAAAGATCGTATAGGGAAGACCTCGCGTAGTGGAAAGTATACGTGGATGGATCGTCATCTTTTCGTTGGATACTCTAGCGATAGATCGCCACCACAGACCTTGGGCTTCGGGGATCACTGAGAGGATCTTCAAGGTCGTGGGGGGCTGGTCAACACTTCATCCCCCAAGAAACTACCCCTTTCTCTCAGTTTTCTTTCGTCTTCGATCTTGCATCCCCCACCTTTTTTCTCCAGGACTCCTTTCTCCGTCAGGAGTTTCTGTTTTCTTTCCAGCGGAACTCGCAAGGATGTTTTTTGCTGGACGTGGCGGACCGTATACCGCCCCCTTTCCACTTTGGCGATGAGTCGAGGAGGAGCTATCTGAATCGGTGATTTTGCGGAAAGGTGAGAAGAAAGTTCAGAATTCCCTTTTCACAGGAGACTAGAATTCTCTGTTATTTTTTTCGTCGTCTACGATTCAAGAATCGAAGTTTCCATCGAAGGGAATCACGCTTTTTCCGATGGATTCGGAATACGATCGAGGGAGAAACGGAGCGCGGTGGTGGTGTCCGTGTGTGTACGGTCGCGCGTTAATTAGTTGTCGAGGAGTTTGAAGGCAACGTGGAAGCACCTATCTCTCTCTCTCTGAGCTGGTTTCTAGGTGGTCCTGAAGCCCCGAGTCATCATAGCCTCATTTACTTTGTAAAACAATCTTGCCGGCAGCTCAATGGGCCCTAACTGCATTAAAACTTTGCCACCGCGTAATTAAACTTTCCTGTAAATCCTCGGGATAGATTTCAGCTGGGCCTAACCTAGGACACGTTAATTAATTAACGACTATTATTTTCGAAAATCAGATTCAAGAAGCTTCCATTATTTATTCCTTTCTTACTGTTTTCGCAGTTTTATGCACGGTTGAAAATGTTTCGAAGAGGTTTCCTGGCTGAAAAACTGGCAAAGTCGCGAAGGATTATTATTAGGGCGCTCCAGATTTCCCGTGGTTAAACCCCCCCCCCTTCTTTTCACTGATTTTTCGTCTAATCCTTACAAATGCCACGGCAATCAAACTTTTTCCCTAATTCGTATTACGAAGGACCCGCATGCGAGACTTAATCTTGACAGAACGCGCAGCGTGTTCCTTTGCGGCTATTTGCTGAACAACTTCGTGCTCTATAAACAGTCCCCAAATAATCCCTCGAAAAATCACCGATAATTATTCTACTCGAATGCCAACATCGACAAATTATTAAACAATTCCAATAATATGTTATGTTTACCTGAAATTGGAAGACTCAATGACATCAGTTTCTTTTTGTCGAGAATAGCTGAAAATGAAGGATCGTTCATTGACAGGGGGCATATTGTGCGTGATCAGTACTACTGTGCCTTTTATTTTCAAGTATCTATTTACGAACAGTGTATTACTCCTACGATTCCTAGATCCTCTCTCAACACACCTGTAACCATTTTCTACGCGATAACAGTGACACGTCGTTCCGTGCAACTATCTCGGAACGGAAAACACGCTAAAGGCAGTCGTACAATTGTTGATTAAGTGCGTAAAAGCTCTCATTCCCTTGCACTCTCTCTCTCTCTCTCTCTCCCTCTCTTTCTCTCTTTTTCACTGCGATGACGTACAATGATAAACTATAAAATCGCCGATGCTTGAGTTCCTCGCGCGTTGGCACCCTGTGCCACGAGCACGCGTGTCCTACAAGCGTGAACGTGTGTATTTTAACGCGCTCGCCGATCGTTTCGCTTCGAATAAAGTCTCTCAAAACTGATAAAATCGTAATCCTAATCAGCACCTTTGTCGGAGACAGAAACGGATGTCTGTACGTACGCGTGACTCGCGAGTGAGAGTATAAAAGCAGACTTTGGCTCGCGAAAATGTTCCAACATCCGTTGCGATTCCGAACGTCCGCGAATGTATGTATTATACGTGTCTTCGAGCATCGAACGATTTAACAATAGTTTCGTTGTCCCTGCGCAGAGACGGTAAAAAAGATTGTAAACCGACGTTAGAAATTATTGTCTCGATTGATTTCACTCTCGATAAAACTAGACCCTTACGATAAGGCATCGTTTTGTTTTATTCTGTAATTTCTAAACTCGTTCGTTGGTCATTTTCGCAACTGTCTCTCTTCGAAATTCACTTCCAACTGTTCTCACGCTGACGAAAAAACCTCTCTCGCATACACCTCACGCGCACCGATTCGTAAAATCCTTAAAGGATCCGACGATTATACAAGAAATATCGAATTGTCTTTGGGTTCATTCTGTCACCGTGTTCTGCTCACAGCTCTCTCAGACTCCCATCTGTGCGGAAAATAATAATGATAATTGTTTGAAAATCAGAAAAAAAAACAGATTACACTCTCTTCCCCGATTGATTCCTCGATGACGTTTTATGCTGTGTGGGCGTGGTATCTCGTTAATCAACAAAGCAATTGGCTAGCCCCTGATCCTCGATGATGCAGATCAGCTCGGTACTAATTCCGTTCCTGGAACAAGTAAATTATTATTAAACGTACCGTCTGATTAAACAATTGATTCTCTTACTCTCAACTGGATGGACGAGGTGAATCGAACTACAGTCTGCAGGAAAGAAAAGGCTAGAGGACAACTGTGTGGATAGGTGGAATAATGAATGGTCATGCGAGATAATAAAATGATTGTCCTAGAAGTGATGACAGAACAGTAAGATTTAAAGTTAGGTCAATCAAATTCTAAGCAATGGAAACAGTATGCAAAACAAAGTGTACGAAAGAACAAGTGCAGCATATCTACTTTCCAATTATTCACCAATCTATTGTATTTCTCCTTTCTACCAAAACTCTTTACACGCACCAGCTTTATCTTCCAAATAAAATAGCAAAACCCTCGTTATTGTTTTCCCATTCAAAGAATCCAACCGAAAGAATAGTCGACTAACTTCACTGGTAAAAAAACTAGTCACGAACACAGATAGCTCCCGGCCAAAACAAAAATCTTCCACCAGTAGTTTCTCTCTTGACCAAAAGAGACTCCTCCTCCTCCTCCCTTCAAGAAACGTTCCAAGTTTACTTCTTTCATTGTTTTATGAAGGGTCTATCCTTTCACGACGCGTGTCTCGTGTTATGTGGATCCAGTCCGGTAGCCATGGAATCGAATGAAATGCGCGCTTCGCGCTCGACTGACTTTTCCGAAATGTTTTTCCGGCCAGCAGGAAATGACCGGGGGCTCCATTCTATCCTCGGTGCCGTTCTTTTGTTCCACGACCGCGGAATCCTTTTTCGCGAGACGCGAAGGAAAAAAGGAAAGTCCGTGATCGGAGCTCTCCGGTTTTGCTCGGCGATTTTTGAACGACGGGAAAAAGAACGACGTTCGACGACCGAAGGAAAAAAAGAATGAAGTAGGTAGCTGTGAAAAATTTCCATGCTATAAACGTCTCATAAGTTTTTTACTTTCGTCTGCTGTATAAAGATCGAATTGCAATTGGACTTTGGGAGGCAGATTTTAAATACGTTATGGAGGAAGAAGTGGATGTACAAAGTAAGTGAACGTGTAGCCTGTAGAATATTCAAAAGAAATGGGTTATTTTTAATTCTCCTGAATATTATTAAACTTTTCTCCCATGATTCGCCTCGACAATAGTCATCCAAACCAACGGATGATCTGCCAAAGGAAAACACAACGCACGAAAGCCGTAAAAATTGCATTCCACGATAACTTGAACATAGAAGGGTTATGCATTCTCCTTGCACCGGTGTGTTCAGCCAAAAAAATTGCAAATTTTTCCCGAGAATATCACTTTTTACGGAGAACACATCCAGATGCAGAAGGATGCCGAAGACCCGGAACCGGAGATTTCCTCTACGATTCTGTGTCGGAGGACGTATACACACCGTGAAACTTCCCTCTATTTTCCCCCTTCTTTTTTGCTATTAGCTAAGTATACCGCCTCTGGCTTATGTTAAGCTTCGGCAATTATTTGTCATAGTCAGCTGAAACGAAAGCAGAGACAAAAGCTCGCGTACGGGAACGGGACGGAGGGGGGTTGGAGCCGCCCTCGGGCTAAGGCGTTCACATCAATTTCGTTGCTATCCTTCCTCGTTCTTGGTTTCTACACTTCCGGTGCCCCGGTTGGGCTTTAACCCCCTCGTTACCGGAACCCATGATATCGGCCAATTTACCTCTTCTAATACTCTAACATTCATTATTCCAATTTTCGATATTGCATGTTATGGTCGTATTTACATTCTTCAATTTATATCACTACCTACTCTTATTTACTATTCTACTTTTTACAGTTTCTTTCCATTTTTCGATTAATTTAAGAATAACTTGTACAGCAAATATATTTAATCCACATCTGGAGAACAGTATCTCTTGACCAGATCAAACGATTTTTTCCTGTCTGGTGAAATGGTAATGAAAAAACAGTGCTTGAAATGCTACGAACTTCTCGAACAACCCACTATTTTAAAAAGTTACTAATGAATTTCCAATGATGCCTGATTCGATCTAAACAAACGAAGAATAGTTGTTACGAGCAATCAATGATAATCACCTTCGGTAAGCAAGAAGGATAAAATTGAATTAATTTAAATGAAAGTGTTATAGAAGTATTTCGCTTGTATTCAAGGGTTCAGCTCTGAACACTATTGTTCCAAGCGTGTTTCATTCCACCGAACAAGAACACCAAGAACAAGTGACTCCGCGAGAAAACACAACGAAGCCATTCAGCCACGGCTCGTGAAAATGCTCGGGGCCCGGTTCGGAACGACATAATAATCAGCCGGCAGCCGAAGATTGCGAGGAGCACTGGATCCCCTTCTCCCTCTTGACCGAGAGGGCCCCTCTTTCTTCCTAACTTATACTTATTATTGCATTATCCCCTTTGGCCTAGAATGCCGCGAAGACGGCGGAGAGAACCGAGGAAAAAGGCTCTCGAAGGAGATTCGTCCCGTGAACTTCAGACGTAATCTGTATGGCAAACCTAACTGCGGCGGAAGGATCTAAAAACTGAACGAACGATTGAATTCTCCGCGGAACAGCGTCTATTTAACTGTCCAGGTGAGACGCGTGGAACCCTATTACACTGAAATCAATATCTTTTGCAAGTGGATTAAAAGTATAAATAGAAGACGGGGTTGAAATTCAATCGACTTGAAGTATTTTAACCTCTATAAATTTCCAGGGACAAAAGTACTCGATCAATAGAATAATTGACGTCTATTTCATACCCCTAGGAAACCGAAGAAACCTCGTCGTTAAAGCGTAATGGATCGAGGAACGATATTTTTCCAGGGATATTTCGATTCCATGCGGTTCAGGTGACGTTCCTTGTTAGCGCACCGGTAGACAGGTGCATCCTCCTCCCTTTCGCGCTCTCTCTCTTTCTCTCTCTCTCATCCTCTCTCCCTTCCTCCTTCCTCTCCACGTCTTCTTTGCGTTCTTGCGAGTCTTAAACGCGCGGCCAACGATCACGATAATGTCTTCATCTCTTACTTTCCGCGAGCGGTGGATTGCTCGTGCGCGGATCCCGCTTCTTATCTGCCCCGTGGCTTTTTGCGATAATAGCGCGTGTAATTCTAGCGGCTGGCAAAAAAGCACCTAAAGGGACGGGGAGGGAAAATTGATAGGGCGCCGCGGTTCGAAAGGCCGAGTCGAGATTCGCAAACGAGATCAAGAATAATTATTATCCTTCGAGATCTCCCTTTCTCTCCACGCTTCTTAATTGTTTTATTTATTGTACAAGAATTCTGTCGAGTGTCGAAGTCGTATTAATTGTACAGGAATTTTAAGAATTAGAAGTACTTGAAATGGTCGAGGAAGCTGCAACGCAGGACTTTTGGAAATAATATACGTTACTAATTTCCAGCATCCGACCACCGTTTCTGACACGTTCGCCCCCGTGGTAGGGGCGGTGGCCTCCTCATGAATGTGCCCGCGGAGTTTCCGTGAGCTCCTTAATGAACCGAGTTTCGCGAAAACCATTAATAACCGAAAGCCAAGTCCGGAAAGAGAGTGAGAGAGCAGTTGGTAAGGGATGACGGGCTTCCAACCCCGTGAGAAACTCTCGGCGTGTTCACCGGAAATACTTTCGCTCGACGAAGTAAGAATTCTTCTTTTCGCGACTCGAAATTGTACATGCATCACCGTGATCAAGAATAATGAAAGTTTAATCCTTGAACGGTAATGCCTCGAGCCTATTCTGCTGGAACTTTGCAAGAGTTTCAACTAACTCGATAGGCTCGCGATATCCTATTTAAAGGTAAAAATGATTAAAAGTACTAAAACTTGTATTGGATGAAAACCTGAACAACAAACACAATAATAATCCAAACAGGAAAGATTAATACAGGGTGACAAAAAGTGAATGCAAATTGCTTACACATGACAAGTCACCTTGTACACTCTCTCGGTAGCAGGGAATCCTAAGAATCTATCGAAAATCCAGAAACTGCCACCGATTCTCCGTTTCTCGAGGAAAGTCACTGGGAACGGCGAGAAAGACGTCCGTATGGGGTGGGTCTGGCAGCCCTAATGCGACGTATCAATATACGTGGGTGCCGGTGATGGGCCAATATCGCATAAGTGGCCCGATTCGCCGTCATTTGTTACGTTTTGTTCGGTCTAAGTAATTTAAGAGTCACCCTTTGCTCGCCCACCCTCTCCGGCCACGGAGAAAGCTGGCGGACAGAGGAATGGAGGGGTGGATGGGGGTTGCTCTGCGAGGGACAAGGATCTTCGGAACGTCAGAGGGAGGTGGAGGAAAAGGGGAAGCGGGATGATGGGCGGGTGTGCACTTCGCCTCTATTCTTCGGCAAATCGCGGCATATTTGTCAGATTTTTGTTCGAGAACAAAACCTCGACGACCTTCCTTTCCTTGACGGGGGAGCGAGGAGGGGTATTCGCGGGGGGTTGGGAGTTAAGTGGATTGGTTTCGTCGGAGATCGGCGCGAGCGTCTGAACGCGATCGACTTAATTCGGAGCCCTACTCTGGCAGACACTTGATTCTCACGACTTCCGATTCGCGACCGGCGACTTCTGTCTTCCGGCCAACGGATGGTTTTACTTCGAACGAACATCTTTTTAGGATGCGTCAACACTTGGAGGACTATTAATTTACATAATTGATTTGATTTCTGATACACCGCTGATTTGCTGTAATGACGAAATAATTCAAAAATAAAAGCATTGAAAATATAATTCACCCTTTTACGATGAAAGTCGTATACATGTATACGATCGCACACATCCATTAAATATACACAAAAGGCGTATGTATACGCTTAGTAAATTTTGCTCGGTACAGCACATCTCACAGTCAAAGGATTAATGTGACTGGTAAGGACAAGGTAAGTTTCAGAAGCTCACTTACAGGATTCAACCAATAAAAAGTACAGACAGTAATTGTTTTTTCTATACTATGCAGATATCCGACTGGTCTGCATTCGTTTTATTCCCTCCTAATGTTTAAGGATGGGAATAGAGCGAATTTTGAATAGAATCTGCTGTGGAAAGATGCACGTGAAATTATACAGGTGGATTGAAGCAAAGCGAAGGCAGAAATTGGAAAACGTGTAAAGGGATTGGTTGCATGCTAATTACTAGGAGCCAGTTAGCGTATAATTTTGAAGGATCTTTCGCTCACCCTTGAAACCCTTTTCCGGGGAGGTGGACTCAGGGTTGTTCGCGTCCGCTGCGACGTCCGCTTCGTTTTCTATCGGTGTGTCGATCTGGAAACAGAAAAACATTCGCTTCAGATATATGCTCTGATATTTCACGAATAAATCAACAGTGTTATATCTAGGTATAATAAAAAAAAAGCATGAATTAATACACAGAGGCTCGCGCAATACACGAAATTTCATCGTTCAAATCGTTATCGAAAAAGAAGAAAAGGGGTGGCTATTTAGCTGTGCACATAAAGGACACGTGTGAACAGCTGCCGACACGTCTGTAGACCCGTCTTCCCACGCGTCTCCGTGGATCACACGTGGGATCCCGAATCGTTCCACATGGAACCGAGAGCCACGTGGATCTCTCGATTCACTCGCTTCGTCCCCCTTCCTATCGTATCACCAAATGTTCACAATAGCAGAAATTGTTTATTTTCCTCGCAGCTACGATACTTTGGTCAATTAACCCTTCATCCCTCCCATAAGACGTCACCTTTTTCTTCCAACGATAACTCGTTCCCCTCGTACATGAGAAAAATAGATGAAAAACCGACGTTTCACGCAAGAAAACGACACGCTGTGATTCAGACGGAATTAAATAATGCACGTAAAAACCAAAGATGATACAGATTTACTTTGTACCACCCCCTTTAATGATCCTTGATCGTGGCGGTCGGAGAAGCAGATCCACAAAAACCGTGGACACTTGGACGCACCGACAAAAAGAAAGAGATTAAACTGACGAGATAAAAAAAAAAACACTGGTGTAAATAACAACAGGGGTACGAATTTTTATCGATGAATACTTAATTATATTCGATGCACGAGTAAACGAAGAAACGTCAGGATCTACGAAGTTCGTGGGTAAGACAATCGGGGAAAGATCGTGGATCACGTTCAGATCGAGACACGAAACGATTTCTGAGCCGGAGTTTCGCGTAGGTGTAATTATGTTTGTGGGGACCCCTTTTTCCCACAGAACTAAATATAGAGAGTGTCATCCGATGGCCTGGACACACATGTCTCTCGGCGTACCGAGCCACATCTGGCCGCTGTTTCCTGCTAGCTTATACGCTGCGATATGATTTATTTTCGAGACGAAGGAATCCCAGAGATTCACCGCCGTACGTTCTTTTCCTTGAGCGAAACAATCGCGTGGTTTCCATCGTACTCTTGGTTGGTTTTCATTGAATTTAAAATTATTACACGATTTCAAATTATTCTCCGTCCCTTTACGCATTAGCTCCGACAGACCCACATTATTCTTGATGTTTTCAACACCGTGAGAAAGAGAATTTTAACTACAATATTCCAACAAACCAATGAAAACCACCACAGAAGGCCTCTGGCTCTCTGTCTCCGTTGAACTTGCGCCAAGGGGTTAAAATCTCGTTCGCAGAAGACAAGTCCAACGATCGAGGTCACCCAGCATCGGGAATGCACCGTGAGTTCCCTGAAGTTTCTTTCTTTCGTCTCCGAAACATTATTCTCACAGGCCTAACAACGGGCTCCGTTTCCAAGCGAAGAGAGAAAGAGAGAAAGAGAGAGACAGAGACGAGGAAGGGGCCGGGTAAGGCAAGGTAAAGATCGTCTACGCGCGGCCCAGGTTTTGAAATGCCGGGCAATATAGTGAGTTCGTTACGAGGCTCGCCCCGACGTGGTATGGCTCATAATTGTAGAGCCGGGTTTCGAGGCGCGCACCTTGGGGCACGGTGGTTCTCTCGTCTGACACCTATTGACCGTAGGAAAATCCACGAATCCGTCCAAACATCGCAAATTCCTAGAAATAAACAGGTCTATCTTCAAACTAGGATATCGGGATATGGTATCAAAGGTAGTTTTCACTTTTCATCATATTCGAAACGATAAAGATGATCTTGGAGGGGTCCACTGAGAGGAAAGAGAAATGTGCAGTGGAACGGACAAAATATCTCCTGGGCGGAAGATGAAAATTATTAGCCCGGGAATGTCTTAATCCCCGAGAGCGAAGCAAAGACTCGCGGTGCTCGGCTTAACATAAACTTTTTTCTTCTCCCCGCGCGCGCAAGGCCTGTTCCGACGCGCGGTGAAACGCGAGGATGCGCGGCGGCGGCGTCCCTCTTCTGTAAGTGGTGCAACGCCGGTGCATAATGCATGCTGAGGCGTCGAACGGCGTTTAAGGGCACACAGGCCTCGCATGGTTTCTTTTTCAAGGGGCACGATGGTGGAGTTTATTCGACACCTTATCAGCGAGGAGGAAGATTCTACCGTCATCCATCCTGGAGGACCCGAGGGATTCTGTTATTAATATTAACCCTCGAATGGTAAGGTGGGTTTTAAGGTCGTACTTGGTAAGATAGAGTCGAATTCGACCCGAGCCCATTTTTGCTATCTTATAAACTTTTATTTTTCTTTATTTATATAACATGCAGTTCTTATAAGGTTCAACAGAGAATAAAATCCTCAGTAAAGTTTATTAACCATTTCACTGTACCAAGTTTTAGACAATTGGACAAAGGAATACTAATTGTATTTGTATTTAAAACGAGAAGAATAAAAAAATAATAAGAAATAGAGTAGGGACAGGACAAGAGAAATTACAACTTGGGTCGGTTACGACCCGAACCTTACCGTTGGAAGATTAATTGATTACCTGGAATTAAGAATAGAGACGATCCAAGGCAGACTCACACTGTGCAAACCGCAACACGTCCTCGAGATCTCCATGTTCTCGTCGTGTGTATCTTAAGTTATTCCCGGGCTGTCTTGAGTTATTTATCTGTCTACGCCAAAGGGGTGAATCTCTCTCACCCCTCTGACCGCGTCTTAATACGCGCCGCGGAGACTAAATAAACCTGGTGGCTCCTCATCCCCTGACAGAGTCATTCGAAAATTAAATTAATCCCCACCACGGATCGTTCCATTAAAACGCTCGAAACATGGTAAATACTATTCCACTGAAAACATTATTGTGACTTGGAAAGGATATGACTAGAATGGATCTAACGGAATTCGGATCAGCGTGCCAGTGATTCGGGAGGAAAGTTTCGGGGGTAGAAGAGAGCGAAAAGATCGCGGAGGACTTAATACGAAGGAAGTTACGCGGCGGAAGACCGCACGGTGTATAAATTCAAAGTAGATTAATATTGTCCCCGTGGCTGTCGCGGCGGCAAACTTATGGCGCTAATTCGGCCGACGAATTATTACTCGGGGCTGCGCCGTCGAGTCAGCCCCCGTCTTGTCGTGTGTTTTGCGAAAAGGGGGGAGGGGGCGCCCTGTGTCGTTAATAGAAGTCGTACGTGCGCCACCGGGTGGGCGACGTGTCCTGGGATATTAGGATTGTGGTGATCCTTGAATTCCAACGATTAAATGAAACGTTGACGCGAAAACTTGAAGAATTCTCTTTCTTCGATCAGGCTTGAGACGATTCCGAATCGATAAACAGGAACTGAGAGTCTGATCTCTGTGCTATTGTTCTCCTTACTTATTCTTCAAGTATCTATCCCGTCGAATAAAATCATTTCAAAATGCACAAGAAGTAGACTTTATTTCGAGGCACACTGACCAAAGAGAACAACAGGGTTAAATGTCAGGATGACAATCTTAGATACTGCGGATAAAAGTGTGCCCAACTCCCCTCTCACTTCCCTCTAGAAATAATCTTCGCATTCGATATTAGAAATATTCTATGTAAACTTTTAAATCACGCGCAAGAACAGTCATCATCTTCCAAAAAGCGTAGACGATACACTGAGCCATCATAATCCTAGCTCGCCCGATAAAAACGGATTCGCATTGTCATTTTAATCGCTTGGAGGCGGAGGAAGGGGCAAGCACGACGAGATCCACGGTGGTCTTTTAAGAAAATTAAGAACCCCTGTGCATTGTCTCTCGTCTCGCGGAAGAGATCCCCGAGAAAAGGAGCGTAGGCAACAGCTGTTTAGCATCCCCGATGAAAAACTTGGGCCGGTAATTATTCAAATTATTTTCAAAGAAGGGCCACGGTTTTCTGTCTCCGGCTCACCGTCGCGAACGTCTTTATAACTTCTCGTGGTTCTACCGGGTGTCAAGCAAGAACACAGTGGGATCCTCTGATCCGTAATTGAGAGGAAGTAAAACACAACAGTCGCTTTGTTCTGGCCTGGAGAAAGCAGTACCCTACGATTTTATTTTCGAAATTAATAAAATCTGTAAGTAGAAGCTCATCAACATTTGATTTTCACTTCTGAACAGCACTTCTCATTGATCTTCAATGAAAAATTTCACGATTCCTTTCATCAAAAGTCGCACTGCAGTCGTGGACGCGACAGATTTCCTTCCAGATTTAGGTCAAACTCGGTCGCAAGGAGTTGGAAGGAGACGGAAAAATGAGCGAGTGCTCGCTTCCTCGGTCGTCATCCAATCGAGCGGAAAACTCATCAGTCACTCCGCGTACAACACCTACGTGGTGCCGGTGATGATCCAAAAACCTTCGTCTCCGCTTCTAATCTATATCATCCTCCCACCCCGCCAGCATTTCCCATTTTTCTATTTCTCCAGTTTCTTTTTTCTGTTCATCTTCTCTTAATCCAGACATGCACCCCGTTTCTTTAAATCTACGGACATAGTCGCACGATATGGCTACTGTGAATCTGTAAGGTGTCTGAGAATTTTTCAAACGGTCAAGATGTTCTCAGCCACTCCACGGTGGAATGGGACGCGTTGACGGGGCGAAGCTCGAAGGAAACCAAGAGACCAGCATGTCGAGAATCACTTTCGACACGTCGCCTATCAAGAGCCGAACCATGCTTCCGGCAAAACACAAAGACCTCCTTCATGCCACGCACCGTCGTCCTCCTCCTCCTCCTCGTCGCGCGTCGTCTTTTGCTCCCGTCGCGTTCTTTGATGACGAACCGAGTAATCGAGCCTGCTCTCGGCTCTGTTGAGCCGCGAAACAACTTGTTATTATCACGTTAACGTGTATAACAGTCTGTTCTGCGTTCGCAAACGATACTGCTCCGTTTTCGATGATCAAATCCCCATTCGAATTCCATTAAAATATTAACGCAGAGAAAATCTATCGACATGTGTACCATCTA